AGATATTTGCAAAACTCTGGACCGCAGGTGTCTATGGTGGGGAACGAAAGCGCTATTTTCCTTTCCGGGGAGTAACGCGTCCACCACCACAGAATGCGAGTACTTCGTTTGACGTGTCTCTCGGCTAGTTCTATCAAAAAAAAAGGAAAACATTGTGATTTCAACCACAGCCTCGGCTTAACTGGGTTCAATGCCGCTGTAGGCTTGTCAGATCAACCCCGTTATTATTATTATTATTAATTGTTATTATTTTTAGTGTTATTATTGCTGTTATTATGATTATTATTATTATTATTATTATTATTATTATTATTATTATTATTATTATATTATTCCCACTACGTTTAGCTTTTAAACCTTTTATTTATATCTAAAATTTTTTTATAAACATAGAAGTCTGCTAAATTAACCCTTTCATTCAAAAACCGGGCGTTATTCCAAGTGCTGCAAGAAACTCTTACGAATGAGGAAGGAATTTCTGTGAGGATTCTAGCAAGAAAAGTCCAAATAAGCGCTGGAGTTCAACTAGTTTTGATCCTTTATTTATCTTTTATGCAATGAAAAATATAGCAAAAATCAGTGTGATAGTGAATTTCAAAAAGCAAAAAATATTTCGCACACAGTAACAAAAAAGAATCGGAAAAATTCAAGCGGCTTTTATGAAGGTTTTATGAGGCATTCCATGTTTGAGTGAACAATATTCGAAGAACACTTTTCAGCTGGAGCGTTTCTCTAACGGAACTCCGATAATTTAAAACAACATGATGAAGTAAAAAATTTGCACGTAGTCGAAAACTCCCCTAGGTTGGTACAACAGACCACCTTCCAGATGCGAAACCAATTGAAATTCAACCCTACACTTTCAAACCGGAGACATCAAGAGACAGCTCGCTGATGTTTCGCGTTACGTCTTAACCACAAGAGAAACGCAAGAATACTTTAAGAAAATGTTTAGTCTCCACAATACAAAATTTCACGAACACTTTACTGAATTCAAATAAAGGAATGCAACGAACGAAATCTAGAATAAGGTTTCTCTACGACTATTGTCCTCTACAGCCACGAAATACGTTGCATTTCATTCACTCGTCTATTTTACGTTTTGCACTACATTTCAACTGCTATGAGAACCATGGATGCGGAAGCTCACCATGTTGAACAGAATATTGTTCAGAAGCACTTGAGCACCAGCCAGAATCGAATTCACCGATCCTGTGATACCAAACGACGATAGCAACTAAACAATTAACACTCAATTAATAAACTATTCATGGTCTTGGAGGGCTTCTATCAGGTCATTAATCTTGTTTCGTGCCACTCTGTAAAATTTGAGCTCCCTAACTAATGCATAACTATGCATAACATCACTATGCAAGAGTGACATACTGCATCATTTCGCTTGTACCACTTGCAGTAGCTTCTTTAATGATAATGTCAAGAGATCGGCGAAGGGCTCTCTTTAAAGTTTCCATTCATCTCCGCTGCAAGACACCGCTATGCGAAAAATACGAAGGACATCATACTTTTAGTACAAAGTCTAACGCTTTATCTTCACAGTTATTCTTGATGAAATAGCTCCAAGTAGGTCACTGAGCATCGTGCACTTGATCTTAGCAGGGCTTTTTAAAAAAATTTCCAAACCAAAAAAAAGTTGGATGAGAGATTAAGCGTTTGATAAATATCGGAGACCGATGACAGACTAAGGAAGGCAACGAGCCACTAAGATTGACCACGTCAACTACTGCCAAGTACTGCTATAACACTGTGCTCAACTCCCTCTTAGTTTCCTATGCCTACATTTTTAATACTTTGACTGAATTCACAATTTCATGCTATATTTGAAATGCTTGCGCTTTTCTTGTGACCTTAAAGATGTTCCTGTGAACATAACTACTTGGATAAACAATTTTACCTCTTCAAGAAGATCAAATTATTCCTCAAGTGTTAACGAAGCATGTAGTCTCTGTATCCTTTATAGTTCATACTTTCTTGGATTTCCTACAGTTCTGCGAAGTTTGCATGGCATAATAACAGATGGCTGAAAAAACGACTACGATGTACCTGACCGCGGTCATCGAAGAGCATGAATGGAGCCATGGATGTCCGTGGCCGTTTTCTGCCGGCGACGCCATTCACGTGTTCCTCTTCAGCGTCCTCGTCGTCGAGGATGTTGAACGCCGACATGTCGTTGTTCCAGACGAAACCGCCTCTTGGTGAGCGCCGAATCGACCCGAACCTATTTCAATCACCGTAATCTTCTGCCACAAATAAACTTGAACTGCTCTAAGATGAAATCATTTAAAGTTTTTAAATCGATTAATTTAGCGCGTTATACTTACTACTTTAACACATAATTAATCGGATATCATGACGAGTTTAAGAGTTTGCAAATTATTTGCTTGCTTGAGACGAAAAACCATGTGGTTTTTAACTCTTAACGCTGTGCTTTTTCAGTATGATTCGCTTTCTGTTGATCATGCTGTAGAGAAATGCCGCTCCGTAGTTGTTCCTACTGTAATCCTACAGTAGTCAACTATCAGGTTATCTGGAAACGATTTTGGTTCTCATCATTCGAAATGTGACAGATCCTTTATGAATAAATTATTATGCACTTCTCATATTAGACTGCTTTAGAGCACAGACGTACGCCTATAATTTTAAATTAGCGACTTGCTTTTTATCTTAAGCTTTGTCAATTTGAGGTACTGAGGTATAAATGGATAAAAAGCCAATTATAGAGGTGAGGTGGCAGAATCTTGTACTGTCGCAATCCATCACAAATGTCGTTGTTGTGCAAATATGTCCCATTGCAGTGGAGTGTCTTCGATACATCTTACTTCTTCAAACTGTATTTAAACCCTCTTAAATTTGAACGGTTAAATAGCTAGTGAACTGTGGATAATGTTCCTACATAGCTATTTGGCGCTCCTAGTTTTCCATTTTCAAATTAAACCTTTTCTGAAAGACAGCGGACAAAAAGCTGGAACAGTATTGTTTTTCAGGATTCCCGACAAATTCTTCTGCTGTGTGACTTCAGCCTGCGGGTGCCTTTCTCTTTCTGGCTTCTGAAAGTAGTAGCCTTAATTTCGTAAAATGGTCATCTTGGTTACATAAGGAGCGGAGTCCTGTCAGAAGGTGCCGTTTCCACATGCAGCAGTTTCACCCACTAATTCTGCTTCTATATACTTAAGGTTTTTGCAGTTTCTTTGAGTTAATGAGGCTGTTCTGAAAGCATTAACATTGTACTAACAATTTAAGTACAACCACATAAACTATGATCCGAGTCAATGACCCACAGCTGCTTGAGAACATGCAGCTCTTCCGATGCAACGGCGGTCTACAAAGGTAGACTTCTTCTCGTGAGTTTCGCACTTTCGGCATTCTTAGCCCTCTTGTTGCTCTATTCTTCTTGCCTGTTGGCATTAACGCCACCTTACCAAAAATGACAACAAAACGGTGAACGTTTTAACAAAACAGTTTATAGCGGTTATAGCGTTTTTTCCCGGATTCTGTTCTATCCCATTTTTGTGAGAAGAATTTTAAGCGGAGAAACTAATGCTTCGATGCCGTTTAAAAATATGGAACATCAGCGATAGTATTGGGAAATTCTCATGTTCAACACTTTGAGTTGTTCGTAAATGCGAGTTGGATGGTCATGTTTGGGCCATATTGAACACAGATAGCCTACCGCTTGCTTCGATCCATTTCGTGGATCGTAATGTGCGATGCTTTATGTTCTTTTGGAACAGATGTTCTCGATATCGATTTCCTAGAAAATGCGGTCTTCCTTGTAGAATTTCTCTAGATCCACATAGCATGCCTCCATTTCCTCTTCTTTTACCTTAGTGTTACTATGTCAGTGAGTAGAACCTTAGAAACAGGTGGTGGATAACATCATTTGTATGTAGGCCATCTAAACAGTATTGCTAGATGCTGGAGGAAATCTGTGATTACGCCCAAGTTGGGCTGACCAGTAAGACAACTGTGCCATATCCTCTACTACTGCATGTTCCGAAGAACAGTTCTCTTTCCCAGTGCCATCAACAGCATCCCTTTTATCCTGATCAATTCAGTTACATCCTACTTGACAACCAAAGTTTGCGTTAAAGCTAGGTTCGCGGCGAAAATCTGATCCGATCGATTTCGATGCAATAATAGCATGGGTCCGCTGTAGGTAAATTATCACCAGAGTTTTTCTGACTACCACACCTTAAAAAGAAACTAGTGCCTAAGTCTTTGAGGTTAGAGGAAGTTGATAAATAAATTATATTCGTGTCAACGTCTTCGTGTTCATCAGAGCCGACGATCCGAGTCGATGGTCCACACTTCTTTGTTTTCTAGATGTGACGTCTTCGTAGTCGCACCGAGACGGATAATCTTAAGGAATGTCGCTCGAATGGAGACTACGAAGATGCCACGTCGAGAGCAACTGTGGGCCATCGACTCGGATCTTTGATTGGCTTTGATGAAGAGAAAAATATCGAAGCTTTAGCCAAATAAAACTATGTTATTAACCTCCCTCGTGTAAACTCAACAATTTAAATACGTACTGATTTGTCATAACGAGGTTAAAAGAAAGTCATTCTTTGAAAAAATTAGTCTTGGATGAGGAGAACAATGTCCTCCCTTTTAACTCGATGACATTAGATATACAGCTTTATTTTTAAAGGCAATCCCAAACTACTTCTTATGTTATCAGCCTTTCTTTCATGTACTTCCCATTTTCTTGATTGGTTACTTTTGAAGCAATCGACGTGTAGGGTACTTACTAACTGTGTACACGTTAGTACACCTGTAAAAATTTACGGATAAGTTTACAGTATATGGAAGAGCTCAACCCAAGAAACCATGCAAATAATTTACAGAGATAAACAAATAAGTATGAAAACAAGGTGTAAGAAAAGATTTAGGCAAAAACCTTGAAAACGAGCCCATCCCTTCTGTTTCAATTATTTGAAATCAAGTGTTTTTTCACGACTTCGTCACTTACTTGCTGTTCAGAGAAGAGCTGAGTGAGACCGCTAAGCCGTCGCGGTCTATCACATTAATATGAGATCCAACCGAACTCTGGCTCTGATCGTTCTGAAATCGAACTACTTATTAAATCACTTTTCTGTTTAAAAATGGACGATAATAAAGCTGTATGATTTTGTTGCAGACACTGAAATTGAGCAAGCGAAACAAGTCCTCGAAAGTATCGCGATTAGTTTCTGAGAAGAATTTCATAAGTGATGGCTATATATTTCAGCACAGCACGAAAGCTGAACATTAGTAAACCTAGAGTACACAATACAAGAATACATGAAAGGCCTCACTTAGAATGCAAATCAACGAATCCACTTGTCCTTAATACAGCTACATGACAATGTGGTGATACGAGCATAATAATACAATTAATGGCAATGGTAAAAAATTCTAAACACAACAATAATAATAAATAAAAATAATAACAACGGCATACTACTTACTTAGTTGGACACTTAGAATGCCCGTTTTCGTTGGGTGTGTGGGCCCCAGCATAATTCCCACTTTTTCTGCTGGTTAAGCCATCATGGTTCCTTGGAGACCCGAGGTCAGCCAGGCCAAACTCTGCCCTAAGTTGTCACTACCACAGACAGTCGCCGCCGTTGTGGATCAGAGGGATATTTGCCACCATGGGACTAGTTTGATATCAGTACGGCAGCTGATCCTGATATTGGTTCACTCTTAGCTGGGCTTCCTGACGGAAACGTCGGACTCCTGAGCATGGGTGAGCCTGCCGGAGGGATGAATCCTCGCGCTGCACATTAAAGCCCGACAGCCGGAAAGATCTCGCAACCACGCCCAGGCGGTAAAACATTGGGAGGGGTTAAAACATAAGGAAAGAAAATTAGAAAATATACAAAGCGAGACATCTAAAAGCTATTCTCGCGGGCTGATAATTAATGCATTCCAGATAACACCGAAATGGTTTAGGCTGTCACAATTAACATAATATTACCAAGTTTTTCATCATATTTGTGACATCCGCTTCTTCGCTTAAGAAGCCAGTCGTTTCATTATGATGTAATCGTAGATTGTTCACTATCGGTTCGTCGGGCATGAAATCCGGATCACCTGAATAAAAGGCACTGTTTTTTGGAGTAACTTGCTCATGAATTCTGTGACGAATTGCTCTACTGAAACTTCCCACAGTACCAAATTGCACAGAGTAAAGTCATGACAAAATCTAAAAAATGTTCAAATTTGTTCATGTTGTATATATATACACACATATACACGTATATATATATATATGTATATACATACATATGTATATATATATATATATATATATACAACATGTGGGATATATTATGGGGGATATGTAATGAAAAACATATGGGGATGTATATTACCCGTATCACCTATCGTCCTTTGATCATAGAGTTATTCGAGTACGCGCCAGTACATCTTTCATTTTTCACTGTCGCGTGCAAGAGTAGCCCAGTGGGCTCTTTTGCTCTAGAGACTTCGAGCATCATATCTTTCTTCCACGCTTTTCGTGAAGAACTCTCACCATCAGGTCGATAGTCCTCCTGCTGTACGTTTGACATCCCAGGAATCCAGTCACTAACGGCTCTTGTCCAACGGCTGTCATTCATACGCATTATACGTCCAGCCCACCTTATCTTCGACTGTTTGGCGTACGGAACGGCATCCTCGATTTTTGATCGTTGACGTAGGTCGAAGCATCGGATTCTATCCTTTACTTGTGTGGAACGGGATACTCCTAGCATCGCCCTTTCGACTCCGCGTTCAAGAACGCTGTGCTATTACTCGTGGGAGATCTTTTTTTGAAACTATCTACTCTTTATCTTTTCCGCGAAAAAGGAAAAGTTGCGCGAAGAAAACGATGCGACATCTGTGAGGTAAACCTTCTGATTTCACCATTGGGAGACTCCCACCTCCAGCGCTGAATATGGTGATTCTAGAGCTACGAGTATCATGAACGTTCTTTATCGCCATGATAATCGCAGGCAAACAACTACTCTACTTGTTCTATTCTAATCCGTGCTTCCTTTTGCGACGCTCCTAAGACGTTGTTCTAATCTAGTCTTAGCGTTACAATCTTCGTTAACGACCTCAAAGAATATATGACCTTCTCTGTGGAACTCCTACAAATTCATGCAGGGCGCTTCAACGTCGTCTGCGTCTTCGTCATAGCGTGATGTTAGTGCGTAAGCGACGGAAATTGGAAAAAGCCGGCGTTGAACCACATCTCCTTTACCGGCTTCACCCTTTGTGGTCCAAATCCACTTATCAAAAACCTCTATTCCTTTAATTCGTCCTGTTCCACTGTGTAAGGCAGAAACGAAATTTAAGTAAGAACTAGGTGACGGCCACGCGAAGGACAAAATCAAAGCGAATACCAATCCAAAGATTAACATCGGGATAAAACCGACGAAAATGGACCGCGACAGTGTGACGGCAGCTTTATTTGACTTTATTTTATTCGCAACTATAATTATCCGATCCGACTTCCTAGTTGTTCGAATGAGTCAATGTTCGTGGCCAAACTCGTGATAACGAGAACGCCGACACCGCCTACACCTCTATCCTCGCATGTTCCGAGGAACAGTTCTATGCTGGTGGTCACAGAGGGCGTTGAACATGTGGCGTCTTTTCGTCTTAACCGGCCTCATGACGTCCTGCTATATACTTCTCGTCCGCATAATCAAGTCTTTTACCCAGGGCTTAGATGTAAGCGTGCGTGCATTGAAGGTACGGCTCGTTACACTAACCAATGAATGGCAGTTTAGGCAGCTTAAAATGGCCCGAGGTTTTAGCAGCCTCTTCGCACTCGTCCTACTCGACGCTGCCCTACCAGAGGCTCTTTTGGGTTCAGGAGAATAAGGTCCGTTTATTTCACTGTCTTCAGCTTTTGCTATCCACGCAAAGCTTGCTGCACTTTGAACGTGAACGTGGAGACTGAACACTCATCAGTAGCTTGCAATTATATTCCGAAGTACGGGGGGAGCTTATTTGTTGTGGGCAATTCCTAACCGCGTCCCATATACTTCCTTCTTCGCAGGTTTTTGACCGAATTGACTCGTAGTATATAATCCCCATGAACAAGGACACAGCCACGCACGCATTTATGAGTACGTTCTCGTAAATAAGTATGTTTTAAACTGGCGCACCAAAAACAGGTGTTATATTCCCCGGATCCACCTTCGTCCCAGGGAAGCAGAGGTCGCTTTTGGTCTGCGGCTAACTTCCTGAGCGCCATCTGGGGACGTATCACGCTCATCGTGACTAACCTGCTTGAGATCCTTCTATGGGAACCTAATATATATATATATATATTTATATGTATATATATGTGCATAACACATGCATATATCTGCACATGTGTATATATGCATGTATATATCCTTATAAACACTGCTAACAAACCCAACATCATACCGACGGTGTAATGACCTGGGGATTGTGGAGACTGAACATAACATGGCTTACACTATTGCAATTTAGTTATCTAGAGGAAAGATCTCGGAGGCAGTCATTCGCAAAACGAAATATGACACCGCAAAAGCAGCGAAAAATACATGTCAGATGGCCGAAAATGAAACTTCGGTGGTCCCTCTATAGTAGCAAAAGCATCGTAAGGAAGATCACACCAAGGCAGATAGATAGTTGCAGCAGAAACCAGCTGTTCCTTTGCCTATTTTGTACTTTGGATTCCGTCCTGCTTGAATCACGTGAACCAGTGAAGCATGCGACCCTCATTTCTGACTGTTGGGTAAGAAAAAACGCTTAAAATATTTAATAATGTTTAGGTAAAATTGAAACGTGAACCTATCACATGAGTACATTCATAGAGGGCCAGTGTAAAGCGGAAAAAATTAGAGAGAAATAAGAAACCAACAGGCACCTTCAGACCTTTCCGTCTTAACAGTTTTAATATTATTTTAATCGGTGAAATATCTCAAATAATATAAAGAGAAAAAGTCGCAAGAAAGAAACAGGGATGCGCCCTTGTTCAATGCTCTTGATGAAGACGAAAAAAAGATAAATATGCGGTGTCTGCAGCCCCCCAAATTTTTTTGGATAGCGGGAAGGCTTTAAAAAAACTCGAATAGCAAAACACCAACCGATTTGTTCTAGCCTCGCAAGCCCAGCTCGCTGCGCCGCTAAGAGCTCTCGCAGATACATCGCATCAAATGAAACATTTGATCGGTTACTGTACCGACCTTTGGAAATTAATAGACATTCTTTTTAATATGCGAATCTATCCATGCTCTAAAACAAATTTTCGAAGTAATGATCGTGTTCCTCTTACTCATCATTATTTCCACTATAAGGCTGATTGCTAAAAATGCCGACGGCGATTGGGGCCCTTTTAGGATGAAGCCGTTCGGAAGCACCGTCTCTTGCGCTCTTTCAACTGTTGCCTCATAACCAGCCAAGTCTAATTTGGTTAGGAGACCACCTGGAAAACATTAATTTAGAGAGCTTGTGGTGATCGGCGCCCTTTGCAAATGCCTCGCTTTTTGTCGGTCGTCAGCAGGCGAACAAAAACACGATTATATGTCTGTTTGCAGCCAAAGCCACTCCAGTAGATGAAGAAAGTTAGTCCCTATGAAGTATACTGTGAGCCATAAATCTCGTATATGAAACCTGCTCATCTTCGTAGTGCTTTGATGCTTATAGGATTGATTGGATTTACTATGGTTTCTAGGTTTAGGTATCTATATAGTGCTGCGACCGTTAAAAATCCGATTTAAAAGTGCACAAGAAAAAGCAATTTCAATCTACCGTACCTTATTTTTTCACGGCAAGAGTATTATGTGAAATACAACCAAAATGATGGTGAGATACAGGAGCACATTACGCTTCCATGCGAATTCTGTGCGGTTGTTCCTCACGCGCATACCCACTGGAAGCCTCATTGAAAGCGGCTCTGAGGAAGGCGAAATCCGCCGAAACGTCAGCTTATTCGTGAATAAAGAATAAAAATAACACGTCACGTTTGCACAACAAGAATACGAAGATGCTGAGATATTTGCAAAAATTGGACCCCAGGTCAAATCGAACCACGATTAGCCTTTCCGGGGGCTCACGTGTTACGCACTGCACCACTCACGCCCTTGTTTTGCCTTTCTCTCATCCAGTCCTTTTAATGTAACGGTGCCATAAACAATGACCCGTTATCTCAGCATCACTGTGGCTGTATTTCACATAATACTCCGCCGTGAAAAAAATGGGTAGTAGATAAATGTTATGCATTGCAGTTTCGACCACAGCTTCAGGATTACTGGGCTTAATGTCGATTAATTTCGATTTGTGCTCCCCAGATCATTCCAGTTGTCCATTGATTTCTGATGACACCGTTCTGGTAAAAAGACCGGCCGAGAAAAAAGCAGACCGAACGCCTCAGTGGTGCTATGTGTAACAGGTAAGCCCCCCGAAAAAGCAATCCTGGTTCGATCTGGCTTGGGGTCTAAGTTTTGCAAATATCTCAGCATCATTGTGGTGAATTTCAATAGATTTCGTACCATTTCCAAATGATTTAGCTCTTCCTACCCATAAACGAAGCGCGAGAGGATGAAGCTGTCTTTTAGGAGAGTGAAAATTCAAAATAGAAAAAGCAGAAATGGGGAATTTATGGTTGAAATTTATCCTTGCAAATTTATGATAGAACATCGTCCAAGCGCCATTGAGATTCCTAGCAAAGTGGTTGTATATTTGCAAAAAGAGAAAAACTGAAAAGTCTTTTGTTCGTATTTTTTGAGCGAAAAGTCTTTAATGATGCTGAGATATTTGCAAAACTCCGAACCGCAGGTGTCTGCGGTGGGGAACGAACGCAATATTGTCGTTTCCGGGAAGTAACGCGTTCACCACCACACCATGCGGATCGTTCGTTTCGCCTGTCTCTCAGCTAGTTCTATCGATTTCTGCCAATGAAAAAGTTCTATCGAACTGAAAAGTCGTTATGAATTTTCGAACTCATATGATGGTCGGAAAAAAACCACCAAAAATTATTCAAATGAGAGCGGAGTTTTCAAATATTAGTAGAGAATAGAGAGAAATTAGGAAAATATTAATGAAGAGATAAAGAAAAACGCACGAAATTATGAGTTTAACCTATTGGTTAAAAGCCACGTTAAAAATCAAACGGAAACACGCCCCCACCTCGATCTTTCATCTCGTAGACGATTTGATAGGCGACTTCACCTCTGTGGAACATCTCTACTGGATCTCTACTTAGGGACAACCGTCGAAGAAATTCCGAATGAACGTGATCGACGAAGACGTCGCCCTCGCTCAGTAGTACGTTATATGTTGTACTGAAATCAGGTAGTGAACTTCTTGAAACTGTCAGAATCCGCTACGTTCCATCTTATCTATTAGATCCAACGTTTCGCTCGATAAAATGAGTTTTGGAAGAAGATGTGAAAATGCTGGTTTTCAAAGGAACACAGTGAAACGAACATCATACTCTTCTCCGAAATGATCTCGTTAAATCGGTCTTTAATAGCTCCACCAAAATCTCTGCTTATGGGAATGCCTGAATGGAAATAAATGTTATTTCATCTGATGTTTCAAACAATCAGCTTGTCCTTATTTAGTCCCGAAGCTTGAGATACCAAGAGAACTCGAACCATTAAACTAAGGACTACACATCGTGAAGTTAGTATCATTGTAAGCAAACTTCACACGTAAAAAAAAAAGTATCAATACGAGAAAAAATTGGAATAGAACCGAAGCAATTGAACAAAACAAAGACTAACTGGATTGAATTATAGAGACAAAGAAATACGCTCATAGATTCTAGGGAAACTTTTGATGAAAACCTAAACTGCCACCTCTTCCAACTAAGTACACCGAAGGCATAAGCAAATCTATCCAAGCGAGTCTATCCGAGCCGAATCGCTTGAAGGCTGTCCAAATACCATGAAGAAAGCCAGGTACTGCGATAGATGAATAGCCTATTGTAGAAGAACCTTCACACAAAATATTGGTATTTATTGAAAAACTGCCTACATTTAACATTGCCGCTGTCCTCAAAAACTACTCACCGATTTTGGCAAGTTTTGGATTGAGCAGAAACGTTTCTTCAGTGGCACTTCGTGGAGCCGACGTGTACCCTCCTATGACGGTCGTTTCGTTGCTCACCCTGAAAGGTTATCTTTTCTGGTGCAACGACCTATTTCTACTGAGTTGTCAACCATATGCGACTATAATCAGCTGTTCTAAACTTCCTCATTGAAAGTCACGAAAAAGCGGCTCTGAAGAAGACGATACTGCCGAAACGTCAGCTAGTGTTGCATTGTACTGTGTTTTTCTATGGAAGTAAATGTATGCTGTTTAAAAACATCGCGATTGTTGAACAAGAAAACGACACATTCATATTCCAATTCCGAGGTTAATAGAAAGCCGATCCTGGGTCCTCAAATACTTCGCCTGGTTTTTCAGCTGCTGCTTGAGGATTTCGCCTTCCTTATGAATGTTGTAGAGCGCTGGTTGAATCATTTTCCTTTTTGCATCTCGGAGATAGTCTAAATAAGGTGTGCCCACGTAGACTGAAGGAAACCGTTGAGACCGGAGTCGAACTGGTGCCTTTACTTCCTCATCGAAGGAAGCACTAACCACTACGCTATTCATGCCCAATACGAGTACGGTACTATAAAATATGATTTCTGAAAATGCACTCGACTACCAATTCTTTCCTCGAACTGAATTTGATTGCAACTATGGATTGCGTCCAAATGAATAAAAAGACTGGTTGAAAAATTCCTCTCAATGCTCGTCGTGATAAAAAGAGACACGGAGTGTACTTTAGACTCTTTCTATTTCTGTTCAGCAAACACGAGGTGTTATTTTATTCTTTAATTACGTACAAGCTGACGTTTCGGTGGATTTCGCCTTCCTCAGAGCCTGGAAAGGTTAAGTTGACTGAAATCTACACTGCAAAACATCTCCATAACCAAACAGAGGAAACGCTAAACCAAGATTTCAATCACAATGAACACAGCTCTGCACACTCACCGCTTTCTATGAGTCTACCACTGAGTATGTCGTGTGAAGACCGACCGCGCAGAATTCACACGGAAGCGTAATGTGCCCCCCTCCCATCAGAATAACAGTCTTATATACTGCCCAATATCACGCGTGATAATGAAGCATTCTTCCCTGTGGTTCATTTTCGGATTTCTGGAATTAATCCAGAATGCCTCTAGAGTTTTGCGCGCTTGTGTTCTCGATTCTTGCGAGAGGATCGTAACCCTTACTTCAAAATCTCCGCTATGTCTCTGCGTGCTACGGCGCCTAATGGAGTATTTGGTTTACGTTTGCTGACTAGGTGTTCTTTTATACGCACACAGAGTGGTCTACCCGTTTCACCAACGTTTTCGTCCCTGCAAGCTTTACAAGAAATCAGATAGACTGTACCCGAACTCATGCAGTCACCGTCTCTACCATTGGGGCAAATTATGCTATTCTGCGTTGCACATAGACGATCGCATAGGCGGTTACGAACGTTACACAATACGATTCCGTGTGAACCCTGTGCGGTTGATCTCCACGTGAAATATTTAGTGAAAGACTCATAGAAAGCGGTAAGTGTGCAGAGACTCTGTGTTCAATGTGATTGAAATTTTGGTTCAGCATTTTCTCTGTTCGGTTATGGAGATGTTTGGCCGTGTAGGTTGCAGTCAACTTGACCTTTCCAAGCTCTGAGGAAGGCGAAATCCACCGAAACGTCAGTCTGTGCGTAAATAAAGAAATAAAATAACACTTCGTGTTTGCCGAACAGAAGTAGAAAGAATTATTTAAGCAATGCCGAGGTTAATATAAAGTCGGACGTGGGAGTAACTTTAGATTGTTTACAAACTTGCAAATTGATTTGTTGGTTTTTAACTCCAACAAACTCACGATCAAGTGCATTTATTCCAATGCGTAAGAGCTTCGAGAAATGTGGCCCTCCAACTTAAAGCAATCGCGTTTCATGTCATAGCTTTGTCAGTTGAATCAAAATGAAGAGCGTGATAAAAGCAATGTCTTCAAAAACACTTAAAAAGACTTTACTCAAGTCATATTGTATTTATATAAATGTAAATGTATATTTATGTATAAGATCCACAGACCTCCCTAATAGAAGGATCTCGTGCTAGTTAGCACTGAGAAAACGTGGCACGTCCCAAGGTGGCAGATAGGGGTCTAATCGCGGACCAAAAGCGAGCCTCTCTTTCTGAGGTGCGGATAGATCCAAGTGACTCCCTGTTACTGCTGCGCCGATCTGGCACATGCCTTCTATGTTTACGAGGAAGTGTTCATGCATGCGTGTATGGGTGTATTCTCGTTTATGCGGATTGTATTCTAGGAGTCAATTGGGCCAAAGGCCTGAAACGAAATCACGTGGGAGTATATGGAAGACGACCACAATATCCTTTAAATATCCCAGCATTGTGTTTAACATGTGACTATTGTGAGATACAACCACAACGATGCTGAGATATTTGCAAAACTCTGGACCGCAGGTGTCTATGGTGGGGAACGAAAGCGCTATTTTCCTTTCCGGGGAGTAACGCGT